CATCTCTTTGTTGCATTTGTATATTTTCTCATAAATATCTTCCAATTCATTGAATTTGGTATGCATTTCTGGGTTGTTGTTGTTGTTTCCCTGTTTATACTATCTACATTGTTTTCATTTGAAATGGTTATGTTTTCCCTGGTAACTTTTACAAAATCATGCCTGGTCTTTTCTTCCTTGTGCTTATTTTTATATTTGATACATACATTTTTTAATACTAGTTATCACATGATACCAATGTATGAAATCTTTGGGTATTTAATTGTGCCCTTGTTCATAGCTCTGAATCATAGAGACATGTTTGTCATTTGTCAGTTAATTTTTCACTGTGAACCTTTTTTTTTAAGATTTTATTTATTTATTCATAAGAGACACAGAGAGGAAGAGAGGCAGAGACACAGGCAGAGGGAGAAGCAGGCTCCATGCAGGAAGCCTGATGTGGGACTCGATCCCAGGTCTCCAGGATCACACCCTGGGCTGAAGGCAGGCACTAAACCGCTGAACCACCCGGGCTGCCCTTCATGTAAGCCCTTATTTGGATGACCTTAATCTGTGGGAATCCTGACAGGGCCTTACAAAGGTGCCAGGAATTTTTTTCCCTAGCAAATTCTTCCTCTGGGTTTATGCAAAGGTATCAGTTCTAATTCCTTATCTTATGCAGACCTAAATTCTTTTGTTACCTGTCTCAGTTCCACTTTCAAGACTGGGGTTCTGGGTTGCTTTTATCTGTTGTACAGCTTCAGTCTTTCCTCACATTTCTGAATCTTCTTTAGCATTAATTCTGGAATTGTTCTTTTTTTTTTTTTAGTTTGTTTTGTTTTTTGTTTGTTTGTTTTTGTACCTTTGTTTGTTTGTTGTGATCTTACCACCATGAGATCAAGACCTGAACCGATATCAGGATTTGGACACTTAAGTGAGTCACCCAAGTGCCCCTAGAATTGTTCTGAAAATATTATTCAGGATGGTCATTTAGTAATAAACTCTCTGTTATATTGGCTTTACCTCCTCCTATCTCCCTTTCAATTCTTGGGATTTGTTTACATTTTGCAGCCTCAGGACGCAGTTATATATTATATATTTAAAAGCATTTTATATTCCACTTCCTTCCACATCTAATATTTTTATAGTTGAAAGTTGTCTCATATATTTTTATAAAAAATACAACTCACTGTTTTTTCCAAACTAAATGCAGCATGTGTACATTTTCATAAATATCTTATATCTCCTTTCTGAGGCTGTATGTTTTTTTAAATCCGGAGACTATCTTATTCTTCACTGTATCCCTCCTATCTTCCTGACCCCTTTCCCAGTGTCTAGCATAAACAGGTGTTCAGTCTTTAAAAGAGAGAGAGAGAGAGAGAGAGAGAGAGAGAGAGAGAGAGAAACAGTGTGTCTACTTGAAAATGAATTTGCTCTGTCACTTTTGAATATCTTGCTGTTTGGAATTCTCAGAGATTTTTTAATGCCTCATGAAAATTTTTGGCTATATACCTCAATTAAAATGATATGATCATTTTTTTTCCCTGTCTTCGGTCATATCCAAGTTCCATCATTTAATATTTATGGGATCTTGGGCAATTGACTAATGATTTTTAAGACAGAAACAACAGCACATAATATTTTGGACATAATGAGAAAATGTGTATGTAGTACCTAGCACAGTGTTAGAACATTGGCATCTACAAGGTGTTTTTCCTGTCCTCAAAAAACTGGGCAAAGAAAACCCTCATTGCTATCAGTATCTATTTATTCCTGTCCTTTTTGGTACATGTAGAGAAAAAGTGATACAGAAATTATCAATTGAAAATAATTTTATTTTTTGGTAACAAAATATAAATTTGTCTTATAAAATATTATGCCACTGGATTATGCTGATTTACTTTGGGTGATTCCAGTTCATTTCTTGTCTAAATGATGAATTCCACTTGAAACAGTATATGTTAATGTTATTTTTAGTAGGCAGAACCATTAATAAAGGAGTTTCCCAGCTGAAACGAGGCAATAAACAGCAGTGATGGCAACAAAATATGTGTTTTTTTTTTTCTAAATGGAAAACAGTGAACATATACAATGTTATGGGACCTGAATTCAGAATCAGGATATAAAACTGGAATGTTTTGGGGTTTTTGCATGTCTCTTTACGCTGTTGCTCCCCCCCCCAGTCTTCTTTCTTTTCCTCGTTCTTTATTCCTCTCTCATTTTTCACTCTCTTCTTCCTTTTCCTTCCTTCCTTCCTTCCTTCCTTCCTTCCTTCCTTCCTTCCTTCCTTCCTTCCCCCTTCCATAACTGGAGGCCATGTACCTCTCTCTCCCCTTGGGAAATGGAAAAACAACATTAAACACAAGAATTGTTTATTTTTTATATACTGGTGTTTTAAAATTTCACGTCTTTATTACATTTATTTATATGTGCCTAGTCAAACTCAGCATGATTGCAAATCTCTCATTAATTCCATTCAACTAACAATTAATTCTTGAGCAACTACTATCTGCCAGGAACTGTGCTAGTAGCTAGGGATACAGTAGTGGAAAAGATACTGTCCTGCTTTATTCTCACAGACTAGTGGAGGCATCACTGAAGCAAACAGACAATGACCATCCCAGAGCTGCAGGTGCTGAGACGGCTGGGGACAGTAGTCTGTGAGAGCATCCAGGAGTGAAACTTAGCTCAGCCTTGGAGAAACAGCCAAGATTTAGAGAAAGTCCCTTAAGCTGAAGAAATAGTGTTAATTTTCTCTCTGGTGATTGGAGTGGGGAAGAGATCTCAGATCTGGAGTTAAGAGATGGTATGGTCAGAAAACTGCCAGCACAGTAATTTGGGAATATTATGGGGGAGAGCATGAGGGAAGGCATAGCAATGAACCTGGAAAGGCAAGCTGTGTTTGTAAGTCCTGCTAAGGAATATGACATCTATACTGATTTCAGAGGAAAATACGTAGGAAGACATTTGTGCCTCAAAATTATGACTGCAGGATGGGAAATGAGTGTGGGTGGCAGCAACATCTGGTTTGGGGTGTGGCTGAGATGAGAATTGATAGAGTCTTTACTTGAAATACAGAATGCAGACTAGATGGTTGATAGGTAGAGTGGCTGAGAGTAGCCCATGAATATTGTATACTTTCTTGGCATTGAATGGGAGAAGGTACGGTTCACTGAAATATAGAACATGGGTAATAGCTGGTTGGGTGGGTAGGAGACGGGAAGGAGAGTTTAGTTTTGGAGATTTAAGCTGCCTGTCTGTGTGGTGCATGTACATGTGCGTGTGCTCATAGAAAAGGCTCATAATAAAGATTTGAGGAAAATATCATATCAGGACTTCAGATACGGATTTAGGACAATGTATAGATTATGCTCAGAATCGCAATAGTGAAGAAAAAGCCTAGAAAAAAATGTATCATCTGAGCAGAAAGATTAACATGGAACTATAAGGATAATCAACATTTAAGAGACACACAAAGGAGAAAGTAGATTAGGTATTAATATTTATTTATAAAACAGAGGTAAGGAGAAGAAATATTTTTGAAATTGGAGCAAAACACAGAGCAATGAAATGCCAGATTACATGGAGGGCTCAACAATAGGGCAACATGATGGATTTTCCTCCCAGAATCCTGAATGTCTATACTTTAGACTTTAATGTATATATATTGTGGGTCTTTTTTTCTAGAATATGGGGAAGATCTTACTTTCCCAATATTTTTATTAAATGTGCAGATGCATGCTTGTCCCTGATCTATGGTCCTGAATGTCTCTACCTTCCCCAATTGCTTCCTATAGTCTCATCGGGTGTCTTGTTCCTTGCCATTATATTGCAGAAATAAAAGAGAGTAGTTGAAAAAGAACTTCGATGTGCCTTTAAGAAATCAAATATAAAAGAATGTCTTCAATATTCAACTTCATATACTTTCTATGGTTATGCAGCTTCATAGAATTTTATTATGAATACATCAGCGTGTCCTGAGCTTCAGTATACTGTTCATTCTGAATATGCATTCTGAAATCATGTTTCAGTTGTAGAAGTAGATTAAGATGAATTGACAAGAGGATCAGTGTGCTACAGAAGAAAGAACACTGCTCTCTGCAGTAGAAAATTTGAATTCTAGTTTCTAACACCAAATTAGTGTATTTTCTCATAAATACTCTTAACTTCTTTGGGCCTAAGTTATGTGATTTGTAGAACAGTGGCCTCTAATGTCCCCTCCACTTTTAAAATCCTGTGGTTCTCTGGGCACCTGGGAGGCTCAGTCAGTTAAACATCTGCTTTCAGTTCAGGTCATGATTCCAGAGTTCTGGGATCAAGCCCCAAGTAGGGCTTCCTGCCCAGCAAGGAGTCTGCTTCCCCCTCTACCTCTGTCCCTCCCCCTCTCACCCCATTTGTTCTCTCGCTCTCTCTCTCAAATAAATAAATACATTCTTTGAAAAAGTCCTGTGGTACAATCTAAGCAAGCAATGTGAAGTTTCCCTTCAATAACTATGGTACACATTTCGTGCTCATAGAGAAATTCTAATAATCGGGCCTGAGATATTTGAATGAATTTTAGTGACTTCAATAATGTTCTAAATTACATGAATGTGATTAAGTAAGTATGGAAAGTAGTACAGAATGTTGCTGTGTTCCTTATAACTTTATTGTGGTCCTCTCCTGGCTCCCTGCTCCATTTATGTGCCTGCCCTTTGTTTCTTAAAAATTTCTTTCAGGAGATAACATGATCATAAAGGCTTAACTTGTTTAAATATGGTATACACAGGGCAATAAATAATCCATGTTTTGCTAGGTACAGAAATGGTGCAATTGCTCAAGCTAAATATTTTCTAAAGACACTCCTCTGAAAGAGTGAATGAATTGCTCTGGGAGTCATTTGTTAGGTTTGCAGATAGTTACCAAGAGTCTAGTGGTAAGAGGCAAATCTGGAAAATAAAGAGTAGAGAAAAGAGAAAGAATGTTTGTAATTATGGATTCACCTATTATAATTGCCTGATTTCCCAGAGATATATCAAGTGATGCTCTTCTGCTTGGCCAAAATGTTAGCATTCCCAAGGAATGAAGCTTTTTGTTTCCTTTGGATTTCTTGTGTTTTCCTCTCTACATGGATTCAGCAAGGAACTGAAGCCTTTCAGTTTGGCAATGGGTTGTCCTTACTTCCTGACAACGTGTGTGATTTCACAGATCAGTGTGAGGACAAGAGTGATGAACAGCAATGTAAGTGTGATTCTTTTCCTTTGTCCACTTCCAGTTCCCTGAACACCTTCAGACCAGGGGCTGATGGGCAGCCCAAGGAGATTCGGCTAGCTACCTGGCCCTCGTGGATTTCACTCATATGCCTTTAGCATAAATCAGAAACTAAAATATACTTTGCAATAAAGAGATGTGTTCACATACCAAAATTACTCTAATTAAACAATATCAAGCTGCTAAGATTCTAGGTGGAGGGAACGTATTTTAAACAGTTTTTACTGATTATAAAGAAGGAAATGATATGCAGTAATGTAGCTTTTAATATATGGAAGCAAAATTCAAAAGCAGCTCATTACTAAAGTTTTAAAATGCTTTGATGGAAATGATGAGCTTAAATTTGGATTCAATATGGAGATGTTTGAGATGAATTTTAAGTTGCAGGGGTAGATTTCATTTTTGCTTGTATGACATTACCTCCAAGTGAGTTTTACCAATTGCACACAGAGTACAACACTGGCTTGTATCCTTTGATTCTGGGGTGCAGGAAACTGCATGTACCAGCTTCAGAGAGTGCAAGACCTCGATTCAGATCCTGCATGAACCATGTACTAATTGTGTGATCTTGAACCTCCATCTCATCACAAGAGGTTGTAAAGTGAAATAAATTGACTCTCAGTGGCATCAGTGGCAGGAAAATGCTCCGTTGCTTATTGGTATCATATGAAAAACGGAAACTGTTTACCACCCCAAGATGTGAGTAAAGACATGTATGTTTCTGTAGTTTCTCTTGCAATCTGACATCCTGAAGGAAAACTGCATTTCTCCATTGGAACAAGTGCAATCACTTTTCATAGACAATGTTTTCATGAAATTAAATGGGTTCATTGTTGGTTCATAATAACCTCTGATTCAATTATTTGGATCGACTAATTCTAGTATTTTCAAGCACCTTTGTCAAACAGATTTTCTAGTTTATATTCAGATACTATGTTAATTCATGTTGATAGAATTCTTTATTTTCTTCAGCTAAAATAAGTTTCTATGTATTCAGTCTTGCTATTGTTGGCCTTCTACTTACATATTCAGTTGTTATTACATTAGAACGAGAGGATTGAATCCTGAAAAATTTCTTCTCTGTGGAAGAAAACAAGCTATTGATTTGTCTCCCATAGTTTGGGATGGCGATCATTCTATTAGTAACTGCTAAATACCGAATACAACCGAAGACAGGGATTCATTTATATTTGTCCAATATGCCCAGAAAGGCTGAATGTGGGTGTGCTGCCCTTTCTCTGACCTGTCTGGGAAAGCCCTTGCTATTCTTTGGTGAGCAGCAAAGAGGAACCACTTGGCTGGTTTGACAAGAAGTGCAAAGTCCCTTCTCTTACTAATTTCTGTGAGGCTTCCTTTAGCACGCTTGCTGTGATAACATGCATGGTCCTGCTTGGGGAAAAGGTTAATGTGGAAGAGGAGAAAGCTGCTGAGTGCAAAAGGTCTCAGCTGCATGACAAATTCTAATAACTTGCGTCTGTGGAGGGAAACGAAGGAACAGATCTGTCGAATAAACAGATTTCATTTTAAATGTTACATTAGGAGATCACCTTTTGGCTTTTTCACTTTTCATTTTAATTTCTGAGAACTATCCGCTTTGGTATTTTATTTAAAATGTGGACCATAATCTGTAGATAAAATTGAGAATCACTTTGAAGTGTGAGTTTCTTCCGTATACCACAGGAGGGGAAAATACTGTGCAGTATTCCGTATGATGGCCAGTTTTTCTCATAAAAATTTGTGACGTTAAAACTTATGGATGAGTTTTTTTTTTTTAAAGATAACTTTGGAATGATGTTAAAATAGTGCCTTTTTGAAAACAAAAATCAACCAGTGCCCCCTTTTAGCATCCAAATGGTGTGACCTTTAAAGAAATAGATTACTATGTTGACTTTTTGTAATGAAATTGGCCTCATTGAAGTTGAATTTCAGATGCTACTGATTCTATTAATAGGTTTTTGAGAATTTTCCTATTTTACATGATGGTCCTCTTTTTCAGATTACTTGAACCTTTGTTTTAAATTGGAATTTATTTTAGGATATAAGGCTTAGAAAGACTGAATCTTTATAGTGAAGTAAATTCTATTTATACATGATATTGAACATTTAATATGTAGTGATTAAGAAAAATAATTTTCAGGTTTAACAACTGTTTGGTTCCAGTGTTGACAAGAATCCCTCTTCATTATAATTTATTGATGTCCTGAGCCAGGGAAATAAATCATGGTTCCAAACATTGCATTGTCTGCTTCCATGCTGATCACCATTGCCTAGTCTCCCTTATTCTCTTTGATTTATATTTGTTTATTTAAAGATCTGAGCCATTATATCAAGTACAGAGAGAGTCTAGCTTCTCTCCTAGAAATTTCTCAAAATTATTTGGTATACAATGGCTTTACCTTGTTGCATTTTTGCTTAACAATAAATACAGTAGTCTTGCCTATATTGCTACCATTCAGATCCAAGTAAATCAGAAGAGTATAAACTACTGTTGAGACATATCCCATGAAATGGATCCTCACCTGTTGAGGTGCTGCCAGAAAATATTTTTAGATAATTGCTTTTGCATACCTGAAGTCAGTAGTAAAATTAACTGTTACATACATTCACTTTTAGAGCTAACTCATGACTCAAAAGAAAAAAAAATGTATTCAGTTAATCTGACATTTTTCTCTCCTACCTACTTGCCACACCTAGGAACTTTCTATTTGGTCTAGTATTTTTATAAGGAGATAGGAATCTATTTTTGTACTTTGATTTGATGGAATATGTCATAAGATTTTGAGATTTTACCTTATTTCTTTTACAAACTTTTTGGATTTAGGGACAATAATTTTTTTCAAAAGGTAGTTACTTCATATAAATCTAAATTTATATGAGAAATATGTAAAAAAATTACCTTAGGGGTGCATTCTCAAAATCTGAGAGGTGATAGTGTTTAATTAGGTGATGCTAAGTACAAATGTTATTTCTTCAAAGGATGACATGTCAACTACTTTAAAAAAGTAATTGGTTCATTGAATTATTTGAAAGTAAAGAATTAATAAAGTAAAATGTGAGATTTCATTCACAATGCTTATCTTATTACTATATTGTATGCAAAATGTTTGCTGCATATTTTCATGAAACAGCCAAAAATCCTAAGCAAAATGTCTTAGTTTGGGCTACTCTAACAAATACCATATACTGTGTGGCCTAAGCAAAAAGAACACTTAATTCTCATGGTTCTGGAGGCTGAGAAGTCTAGGATCAAAGTACTGGCAGATTTGGTGTCTGATGAGGACTCCTCTGGTTTGCAGAGAGCTGTTTCTTCTTTTTGTTTTTAAAAGAATTATTTACTTATTTGAGTGAGAGAGTGCACATGTACAGAGTAGGGGAGGGACAGAAGGAGAGGGAAAGAGAGTCTCCACACTAAGCAAGGAGCAGGACATGGGGCTCAATATTAAGACCTGGAGATCATGACCTGAGCAGAATCCAAGAGTCTGACACTCAACAACCCAGGTGCTGCTGCAGATAGCTGTTTTTTCACTGTGGCTTCACATGGTGGGGAGAGAGATAGCTTTGGTTTCTCTTCCTCTTCTATAAAAGCATTAATTTCATTATCCACCTCTAAATACATTAACCCGGGGATTAGGATTCAACATAGGAATTTTGAAGGGATACAGATATTCAGTCCATAGCACAATAAAATCTAAGAAATATAATAAATGTATAGAACTTAGCTGAAGAAAATTATACAAAATTACTGATGTATGGAAGAAAGACTCATGACAAGACTATTTTCTTGACAGAGTGTTTCAGTAGTGTAAATATATACATTTTCACAGTCATGAAATCAATCTAGTTAAATTCTAAAACAGGATATCACCATGATAAATCTTGGAATCTGATTAAAGTGACTTACAAGTTTATCCAGAAAAATGAGTGAGAACAGCAGAAAGAGGGAGAATCAAATGATTAATAAAGGGGAATAACTTTTATTAGTAGGTTTATAATAGGTATCATGTAAACTATTCCAACATGTGAAAGTTCAAAATAAGAAAAGAATCTGATTGCTAGAAATATTAAGATTTCTATATATAAGGAATATTAAGAAATATAATATCTATCATATATTAAAAAATAATAGTGGCATTCCAAGTCAGTTTATAGCACTCCCTATAAGCTGAGCACTGCTAAGAAATTTCCATAGAGTATCTCATTTAATCTTCACCAAACATCAAAATAGTAAGAACTATTATTGTTCCCAATTTACAGCTTGGAAAAAAGAAGCTCAGATTAAGTAAACTAAAATGCCAAGGGATACAGAGTTATTCAGTGGAGAAACTGGAATTCACAACCAGTTTTGTCTGATTCTGGAACCCTTAATTATTTTTTTAAGATTTTATTTATTTATTTGAGAGGGACAGAGAAAGAGAGAGAGAAAGAGGGAGAATGCACAAGTGAGGGGGGTGCAGAGAAGCAGATTCCCCACGAGCTGGGAGCCCAAGGTGGGGCTCCTTCCCAGGACACTGAGATCATGACCTGAGCCAAAGGCAGACACTTACCAACTGAGCCACCCAGACGCCCCCCTGGAATCCTTAATTCCAACCATCATACAACACTGACTATGTTTTCATTTATTACAAATGAAAATTAGGCAATTTTATGGAACAAATTTCTTATTTACTCCACACATCAAAGTTTCCAAAAGGTAACGTGTTAAACGTAGAAAATAAAACCGTAGTCTTTATTATTCTGTACAGTAAGTTTTGAAGTCAGGAAAAGTTTCACTTTGCTTTGAGGTGTAATAAATCCTCAAAATATATTTGTTGAAATTGGTATGGAATAAATATTTGAATGAGGAAAGGCCTTTTTATGCATTACATGTAAGAAGAAAGTACAAAAATCAAAAAATTAGAATATATAAAATAACAGTTTTAATGTATCAAGAGCATTGTAAATAAAATGAAAGAGGAACAATGTTTTCAATG